CAGATGAGTCATTATCATATCCTTTCACATGCAATATTTGTGGAGTTGTCACATCAGTTTAGTATCATCAAGCTGCTGTGTGTAAAATGTAAATAGCAACAAGCAAACAACTCGATCACCATGTTCAAACTTCAAAGCTTCAAGATAATTCATAAATGAAAAAAGAAATAGTTCAATATTAGAACCGGGAGAAGAAGGTGCGGTCCCACCAAATGAACCGCACCATAAGAAAGTGAGCCTAGATACACTTTAGTGAGGTTTCATTCCAAAGCTAACTGGTGATGTGAGGAGTAATCCACTAGGCTTATAAACTAGGTTCATTTAGCTTATAAAATTAATGTTAGACAACTCACAAGTGATATTCCAACACGCCCCTCACTTGTGAGTCCTTCATAAGTCCAAGCTCAGATCAGGCTGGGTAGAGACATAGAGCCCAAGCCCAGAGCAAGTCAGGTAGAGAGAGTCATTGCAGGTCCTAAGAGAGTGTGAACCACCAAATGAAGCGCACCATAAGAGAGTGAGTTTAGATGCACCTTACTGATGTTCCATCCCAAAATCAATTGGTGATGGAGAGTAGTCCACTAGACTTATAAACTATGCTCATTTACCCTATAGAATTAATGTGAAACAACTCAAAAGTTATATTCCAACATAAGAAAAAGGATAAATATATGTTGATATGATAATGACCAATAGATTTTGTAGTTGAAACGAATCAAACGTTCACAATTATTAAAAAGTTGCTTGGAGTTCGTACGTTAACAAAGACTCGTTTGAGTTTGTGTGTTTTCGATAATAGGTATTTTGTTTATCAATTATGTTAGTTTTTTGATTAATTGTTGTCCCACATCGGATGTATACCAAAGATGTGTAGGATCTTATTAGTATAAATAGGTCCCTTGCCTTTGGGTTACAATTGCACCTTATTCTATTCTCTCCTATTTAGAAGGAAATCCTTAATTAAGGAAATCCTATTTTGTGGGTTATTTAACCCTAGTTGTATTTTGTTGGTGAGTTTAGTAAATTTGGCGTTGCGGTTGGCGGTGCCCGGAGACGTAGGCTATTTTCGCCGAACTCCGTTATCAATTTTTGTGTTCTTTTTATTTCTCGTCTTTTATTTGTGTTGGCTTATTTTGGAGTAGTACTTGCCATATTGGTTGGAGGGGTATTTTTGTCCGCTGCGCTTGTTGTGATACCCCAACAAGTGGTATCAGAGCCGAAGGTTCGTCCCAGGCTCATTTGGAGAGGCGAGCACTGCATTCAGGTCCGAGATGTCCAAGGA